TTGTTTTTACCTCTTCACTGACCCCTTCACCTCCTGGGCTTCCGAGCAGCAGCCGGGCACCATGAGGCCCTGTGGCCCGTCCTCAGGAGTGCAGGTGACCGAAGGGGGCGGCCGTGCGGCGTGGCGGCGGCGCTCTCGGGCCTTCTGCTCGGGCCAGACGGCTGCAGCCGGCCTGCGGACCTGGACTCGGGGCCGCGCTGTTTGCAGCGTTGGGGACAAACACGGGGTCCGTAAGCTCGTAGTGCGCAAAACCCCTGCGGTGGGCGTCCTGACTCCGAAGGTGAGAACGCGTTGCCCTTCTTCCCCAGCCGCCTGGAATCTTCCCCGTAGGCCCCCGGCCACAGCAAGCCGCCGCTCAGATCCTGACCCAGTCTTCACCTGAGGTTCCACGTGGCCAGCACGAGCTCTGGCTGCCTCCAGACCCCTCGGGGCCCGGGGCCTGGGTGGTGGCCACCGCCAGCCCCAGCGGCACAGGGGGCACCGGGCAGGGTGCTCCTGGAGCTGGGCAGCAGCCTGTCCGCGCCCGCCCCCCAGGGCCCCCGCTCGGGGTGAACAGGAGGATTTCATCAACAAACCCAGATTCCAAGGAACTGCCCAGAAGCGTCTCTTCCATCCCGTGTCTGCTTACGAAGGTGTAAACGGTGTGGCCTTTATTTTTGGATTATGCTGACGCCGACCACGTTTCTTTCCTGATGAGCATCCCCTGCAGGCTCTGTGGGGCTCGGGGCGGTCTGTTTTGGGTCCCTCACCCCTGGTGCTCCACTAGCTCAGGAGACCGTGGACAGGACGCGTCGTCTAGCAGAACCACGTGCGGGGGGCGGGCGGCCCAGGGCTGGGCGGGGGCTGGGCCACGGGTTTTCCTTACCACGGAAGCGTCCTGTTCGTTAAGAACAGAACCAGACACTGAAAATGCTTCTCGGGGGCTCCGTGGTGTCGGTGGCAGCACACTCACCCCAGGCCCCCGCGAGCCAGGCCCCTGCCCTCCGCCTCGGGGTGTGGCCACGGGGAGGGCGCCCCGAGAAGGCAGGGATGCACTAATGCCCGTTCCCTGCCTACCGGCCATCTGTCTCCTCCCTGGTATTTTTGAGTAAAAGTGACTCGTGACGTCCTCGCCCCAAATGGGAGATTTGCCTGGATTCTTTGTACAGCTTAGGTGTTTCCTTTTAGGAGTTAATCCATTATTCAAGCCAAATAGGGAATTTCTTGATCTTAACCTCCTGCTATTGTGTTAACCTTCAAACTTGGCCTTGAATTTTCCAAACCGAAGCTGGTTCTTCTTCCACCTTAGGCAAAATCTTCAAGATTGTTTATTTTACATGGTTTTGAAAACGAATTTAAAGGAATGAAATGAGAATAAGCTTAAATTTTGCTCTGTGATATTGATATTGATCTTCATTACCTCATTAGGTGAATAACCGAAGGTGAACACGGACGGATGATCCTGTGCTCTTTAAAATATTTCAAAAATTATAAGACAAATATTTAGAAATTTTTGGAAATAAGGTCACCTGTCGAGTTGCTTACTGTTGGCAGCTTGCAGTGTTGTGAGTGTGGTTCTTGAAGATGACCAGCCTCTGACCTGCCCCTCTGAGCGCAGAGCCTGGCTCGGACCGTGGGTTGGACGGTGCGGACTCGCCCCCGTGCCAGTGTGGAGACAGGAGTATAGAACTGCCGTGCGTGTTTTTCTGTTTCAAATAATTTGATGCTAGAAACCAAATAATTTCCCAAAATCCCTTGTCCATGGGTACAGGAATCGGTCATTCTTGATCTGCGGGGTCAGTAGAGTCCCACCTCCGTGTCTAAGTGGATTCGATGGAAGGGACTCTTGTGACTCAGGAAAATATTCTTTTTTTTTTTTTTTAAGATTTTATTTATTTATTCATGAGACCCAGAGAGAGAGAGGGACAGAGACCCAGGCAGAGGGAGAAGCAGGCTCCACGCAGGGAGCCCAACGCGGGACTCGATCCCTGGTCTCCAGGGTCACGCCCTGGGCTGAAGGCGGCGCTAAACCGCTGAGCCACCCGGGCTGCCCTCGGGAAAATATTCTTGCAGGTTTTCAGTGGAGGACCTAGGGCGCAGGAGTCTGTTTGTTTGTTTGTTTGTTTTTATGATAGTCACAGAGAGAGAGAGAGAGGCAGAGACACAGGCAGAGGGAGAAGCAGGCTCCATGCACCGGAAGCCCGACGTGGGATTCGATCCCGGGTCTCCAGGATCGCGCCCTGGGCCAAAGGCAGGCGCCAAACCGCTGCGCCACCCAGGGATCCCCAGGAGTCTGTTTTTACAAACGTTTAAGATTCTTTCTGCAACAGTTAAGGCTTCGTGTGTTCTGTGGTCTCCAAAACAATGTTAGCATTTTATGTTTTGTTTTGTTTTTTAAGATTTTAATTATTCACGAGAGACACAGAGAGAGAGAGGCAGAGACACAGGCGGAGGGAGAAGCAGGCCCCTTGCGGGGAGCCCGACGCGGGACTCGATCCCGGACCCGGGTCACGCCCTGATCTTAAGGCTGGCGCTCGACTGCTGAGCACCCCATGCATCCCCAGATGTTAGCATTTTAAAAGCCCTGAAGACGGGTCAGTGCCCCCCGCCCGAGCTCGCCGCGTGAGGGTGCGCAGCTGACCTCTCGCATGGTGTGCAGGCCCGCGGGACAGGCCGCGGCCCGTGGTGCTCCCGCACAGCCTCCAGCGTAGACAGGTCCGCGCCACACCCCTTGCCCGGAAACCCCTCCCCGCGGGCTTGCTTTGGTAGGACCTGAGCGTACCTGACGTGCGGTCGGTCTGTTTACGATGTTTTACCGTAGCTGATGGATTTAATAAAAGCAAATGTTCAATGGTAGTTTGTGGTACTTTCTCGTCTATTCACGGAGTTGTGAGTTGATGATTTTTGTGAAGTGTCTGCAGTGCAAATACCAAAGGTGACTCGAGCTCTGGGACCCGCAGTAGTTCATTCCAAATGAGCCGCCTCTGCCCCGGCGCAGCGCCCTTCACAGGTTCATCACCGAGGGCCGTTGTCGGGAGCCACGTTCTCTAGTTCGATGGCCCGATGAGCGCGTACCGGCCCGTCGGCCCGTGGAGCCCGGCCGCGACACCTCGGCGGGGACCGCCGCCTCGAGCCCTCCCTTCTGCTCCCTAGACATAGTCGGGCTCGCGGCCGCGGCCGGGGCAGCTGCCCGTCTTCGAGGAGGCACCGCATGGGGCGCTGGGGACAGGCTGGAACGACGAACTTAGTTCCGCGTGACACGTCGGGTCTCACGCTCCGAGCGGTACACTGGAAACATGAGAGCTGTCGCTAAAGTAGCCTCTAGAGTTTTTTCTGAATTCTCTCTGTGTGAGAAAATACCTCGTTACACTATTCTGGGCAAAAGGGGGTTTGGAGTATGAATCCTACGTAGCTCATCTTTGGAAACCCACCTGAGCCCCGCGCGGGGCGTCCTCCCTGCTGCGGGGGCCAGCGGAGCCGTCCCCCGGTTGATCCCGTCTGGAGTGACCGGGCCCCGGCACGCCGTGTGGGGCAGGGGAGACGAGTGCCTCGTGATTCTAAGGTTGCTTAGCATATTTTAAATAAACATGTAATAAAAGCAAATTCTAATAAACTGGTTGTTAGTAATTCCATACTCAACATTGTCCAGGTTTTCACTGTCGGCGAGTGTTCGCCTGTGTTCCAGCCTGTGTGGTGAGCAATCCCACGGGCAAGCTCTGCCGTCCGGGCGGGACCGCCGACGGCTCCCAGCAGCCCCCGGAGCTCCCGGTTTGTCAATGTGAAAATAAGGACCCTCCGTGTGGCCCCCTGGCCGTGCTGCGGGCTGCTTGGCGCCAGCGCTCGTGCCCGCCTGCTGAGCCGCCGCCTGGCACGGCGGTGTCCCTCGAGGAGCTCCTCCACACTGACCTGCCGGCCCCCACGCGTACACGTTTTAGGTCAAATAAGCCAAATGTTGGTTCCATAAACTGTCACCGTGGGCAACTGCACCCAAGTTCCGCCACAGTGTCAGGGGATCGTGCGGAAGCCGGCGGCAGGTCGTGGGGAGGCGCCAGGGGCTCCGGTCCAGTTACTGCTGTGCCAACCGTGTGCGAGCTCCCTCGGCCGCGGTCACAGGTCATGGCAGTGGGCGTCGTGACGCTACATGGTGGTAAACCTGGCGTGGACTTCCATCACAGGTAGCCTCTAAGCCAGTTAAATTTCTTGTTCCAAACTCTGCTACAAAGATATCTTTTTTTTTTTTTTTTTTAACAAAGATATCTTTACAACTTGCCATATGGGTGACTGATGCCCCAAAGAAACGCGTAAGAAGTGACCCTTTAAGACTTAACTCTTGATGAGAGAATCCCTCTGCTGGGAAACGTGTGACGGACTTGGCCTCCGCAGCAGCCGCCTTAGAACCAGCCCGAGTTCTGGCTTCTGACTGGTCAAAACCCAACATTGTTTTAAGAAGAAAAAAAAGTATTTGTTATGCGACATAATTCTAGAAAACGATTATAAAACTCTCATTAATAAAAAATTGAGAGAAGTAGAAAACAGTATGGTGAGTTCACACGAGGGAGTCTTTTTCAGCGGACAAGGAGCGCGTGTGCTAAGTGCTCTCCTGTGTTCCGGGGGTGTCACCCCGCGTCCCGCCCCACGTTCCCCCCCACCCCCACGCTCCACTGCTCCGTGACGGTGCGGGAAGCGCCCTGTGACCGTGCCCTCTGCCTCGTGGGCCTCGTGCCGCTCGTGTCTGTCACGGTCGCGTCTTCCGTGGACAGAGGAGAACCCTTAGACGCGGAGCCCGGGTGTCCGACCGCCCTGGTGGGACCCAGGAGCCGACTGGCCAGCCGCCAGCCTGTCCATCTCACTGCGTGTCGCACTGAGACTTGGTGTGACCAAGACTTTGCCACCACGCCTCCCAGCAGGCGCTGGCGGTGGCGGTCGGCTGATGTTGGTAGGGCGCCGTGAGCGCTGGTCTCTGGCCAGCGTGGCGGCCCTTTCTCATTTCTTGCTCCATCCCCTGCCTTGTTCGATTCCAGGCCTTTCCGCGGAGAGTCCTCAGCCTTCTCCCTCCACCCGGAAGAGCCCACCGAGCCTGAGCCCCGTGTCTCAGGTGACTCTGGGCCTGGCCGGGCAGGGCTCGTCCCCCCTCCTGAGCCCTGCCCTTAGCGACGCCGGTGCAGTCAGGACGGACGGCGAGGAGGAGCCGAGACACAAGGTGGGCACCGCCCCAGCAGGCGGCTTGCTGCTGGTGGGCCTGGTCTGCAGGGGAGCCTGAGCGGGCAGGGCCGCGTGTGCGCCGGGGGGGATCTGCCCGCAGAGCCACCACCACCTGGGACTCCCCGCTGCCTTGGCCCAAGGGTGGGCTTCCTGGTTCACGTAGCGGCGGCTCCTGGCACCTGGGGTTTCAAGCGGGCACGTGGGCCTTGGGGCGCCCTTGGCCTCCGCCCTCCCTCCCTCCCTCCCCCCCTCGTTGGGGGGAGGCTTGGGTGCTGATGGGTGTGCCCAGGGCCCCCATCTGGGGGTTCACGGCTGAGTGGGTCTGGAAGGAGGTTCGGGTGGGCCGGGGTCTGTGCTGAGGGTGTCGTAGGGGGAAGGGGACGAGTGAGGCATGTGTTGTCTAGAGGGGAGAGGGGAGGCGAGGCCAGCAGGCTCCTCCACGCGCTCAGGGTCGGGAGCGACGGCAGCGCGGAGGCTGGCGGGGAGGATGGCGCCCATCACGCGGCCACCTCCGCTCCCCGGGCAGGCGGCTCCACGGCGGGCACCCGGCCGGGACCAAGGGGCAGGCTTCCCGACGCCTGGGGATCAGCGTGGTTGGAATAACGGGCTGCGGGCTGCGGTGACCCGGCGGCGACGGTCCCCCTGCGTGGACGGGGGTCCCCGAGCAGCGAGCGGGCCACTGGCAGATGGGGGAACACCTTGGCCTGCGTGGGTCTCCTGAAGGGCCGCCCACGAGGGGAGCCGAGGGCGCGGACAGGGCGGGCGAGCTGCGGAGACGGCGGGGGGCGCCGCGAAAGCCCAAGAGCTGCAGCACAGGCTGACGTTTGCACGACGACGATTCCTTCAGAAAGAGGCACGTAGGGCGCCTGGCGACCCCGGGGGCGGAGCGGCTGCCTCGGCTCAGGGGCCGGGCGTCCAGGGCCGAGTCCCGCGGCGGCCCCCCGGCCCGGCCCGCGCATGCGCGCGCACGGCCCACCTCCCAAGGCGCACATAAAATCTTTCTTAAAAAAATAACACGAGGGATCCCTGGGTGGCGCAGCGGTTTGGCGCCTGCCTTTGGCCCAGGGCGCGATCCTGGAGACCCGGGATCGAATCCCACGTCGGGCTCCCGGTGCATGGAGCCTGCTTCTCCCTCTGCCTCTCTCTCTCTCTCTCTCTCTCTCTCACTCACTGTACGACTATCATAAATAAATCTAAAAAATTAAGATCCTAAAAAAAAAATAACACGAGAAAGCCTCGTGAGGCGGCTCCGACCGGGTTTCTGTTTTTACTCGGAAGGAGACCCCCGGGACCGCGGGGAGAGCGCGGGAGGTCGGCGGCGCCGCGGGCGCTCACGTCTGTGCTTCTTGCAGGGCCCGGCAGCGGACGAGGCCTACTTCATAGCGAAGGAGATGCTCGCCACAGAACGGACGTACCTGAAGGACTTGGAAGTTCTCACCGTGGTACGAAAGCTCAGCCCTTGATGCGGCCCCGCGCTCCGGGATCTCCGCGGCAGCCACAGGCCCCTCCCGAGCAGCGCGCTCGGCCGCCACCCAGGCGCCCTTCTGGCCCGTGACCTAGATCAGCCTCACCGCGTGGCCAAGGCCGGGGCGCTGCGGTCGCCACGAGCGTCCGTGGGAAGCCTCCGCCCCGACTGCTTCCTCCGTTGTGACAAGAGCAGCTGTGGTCAGCGGGGGCACAGTGTGGCGCAGGCCCGCAGGGACCGGGCCCCGGTCACCGTCCGCTCTCCCCGCAGTGGTTCCGCAGCGCCGTGGTCAGGGAGGACGCCATGCCCGCGGACCTGATGACCCTGCTCTTCTCCAACATAGACCCCATCTACGAGTTCCACAGACGCTTCCTGCGCGAGGTGGAGCAGAGGCTGGCGCTCTGGTAACACCCCGCCCCGGGCCCCAGGAGCTCCACCCCGTCACGCCGGCCGCTGTCCCCGTCCCTGTCCCCAGGAACTTCCAGCTCCAGAAACTAATTCACAAGCACCATCGTTCCACCCAGGTCTATTCTTTAATCTTGTGGGAGGAGTAAGCCTGTAAGAGCGCTTAGTCCATCCTGTCCCGGGAGAGCGAAGTAAGTTGAAAGCAGGGGACCCCTTTTCTGCTGTCGCTGTCACCGCTGCCATCTGTCAGGTGGTCCAGGTGTTACCACTGTTCCTGTCAGATGCGGGCCTTGCACCTCAACCGTCTCACTGCCTCTGTGGCCGTGGCTAGGACAGCCAGGCACGCGAGCATCCCTCAGAGCACGGCGCACGCGCTTCAATAAGGTCTTGACCGTGGTCTCCCTTTCTGCTCCAGGGAAGGGTCTTCCAACACCCATGCCACAGCCGGTCACCAGCGAATCGGGGACATCCTGCTCAGGAACATGCATCAGTTAAAGGTAGTGTGGGTTGGTGCGATGACTCCACAGCTGACAGTGCCACCTCGGCATTCCCCTCAGGACAACGCCCCCCCCCCCCCCCGGTCAGGATAGTGTTACCCTCAGGACAGCGTTGCTCCCCCAGAGCATTTTTTCTCGTTAGGACAGTGTTCCCCCTCAGGACAGTGTCCCCCTCAAGAGCATTGATGCTCAGGACAGCACCCCACCTCAGGACAGTGTTCCCCCTCAGGACAGTGTCCCCCTCAAGAGCATTGATGCTCAGGACAGCACCCCACCTCAGGACAGTGTTCCCACCTCAGGACAGTGTCCCCCTCAGGATAGCGTTGTCCCCAGAGCAGTTTTCTCTTCAGGACAGGGTCTCCCCTCAGGACCGTGTCCCCCCTCAGGATAGCATTGCTCTCCAGAGCAGTTTTCTCCTCAGGACAATGTGCCCCATCAGGTCAGCACCTCCCTCAGGCCAGCTTGTCTCCCTCAGGACAGCCTTACCTGCAGGACAGCATTGCTCCACCAGAGCATTTTTTTTTTTCCCTCAGGACAGTGTTCCCCCTAGGACAACATTCCCCTCAGGGTAGCATTTCCATCAGAGCAGTTTTCTCTTCAGGAGGAGTGTCCCCCTCAGGACAGTGTCCCCCTCAGGATAGCGTTGCTCCCCCAGAGCAGTTTTCTCCTCAGGACAGTGTTCCCCTCAGGACAAAGTTACCCCTCAGGACAGTGTTCCCCTCAGGACAAAGTTACCCCTCAGGACAGTGTTCCCCTCAGGACAAAGTTACCCCTCAGGACAGTGTTCCCCTCAGGATAGCGTTTCCATCAGAGCCGTTTTCTCTTCAGGACAGCGTCCCCCTGAGCAACATCCCCATCAGGACAGCGTCCCCCTCAGGTCAGCACTGCTCCCCCGGAGCATTTTTCTCCTCAGGACAGCATCCCCCCTCAGGTCAGGGTCTCCCTCAGGACAGTGCCACCTGCAGGACAGCAGTGCTCCCCCGGAGCGGTTTTTCTCCAAAGGGCAGGGTCCCCCTCCCAAGAGCATTCCCCCAAAGACAGTCTCACCCTCACAGTGGTGTTCCCCTCAGAGCAGCATCCTGCTCAGGACAGTCTCCCTCTCAGTGGCCTTTCCTTCAGGACAGTGTCCTCCTAGGAGCAGCGTACAGTGTGGGGTTCGCTCCTCCTCAGCTCAGGGTCCCCCGCAGGTCACCGCCCTAAGGGGACAGCTTTTCCCCGAGGACTGGCTCCAACTAGATGTAAACCGCCAAGACAGGGCTCCCCTGGGAGGAGCCTCCCCTCAGCACGGCACTTCCCTCAGGACAGCGTGAGAGGAGGTGGCATGTTGCGGGCTCACTCTCGGACGCCTGCGCCTGCTCCTCCGCCAGCCGCGATGGGACGCGATGGGACGCGATGGGGCGTCAGCCTGCGCCGCCCACTCCGGGGCGGTGGGTCGGTCGGTCGGTCGGTCGCCGCCGCCCTTGCGGGATGCGCAGAGCCTGGGCTGGCGTTGGGGTTTGTGTCCGCAGCCCTGCGGGCTCCTCGGGGAGAGGGGCCGTGGGAGCCGGGTCGGCAGCGCGGCGGAGGCAGGCGGTCCTCTCGGTCCTCTCGTCCTCTCGGTCCTCTCGTTAGGACCAGGCGTCTCGGGGGTCGCCAACAAGGGCCTGGCTGCGGCTGGGCGCTCCCGGCAGCCCCGCCGCCCCGCGGACTCCTCCGGCTTCCAAGGCCCCGCGCCGCCGCCGCCGGCCTGGGCCGCCTCCCGCCCTGGCGCAGGCCCCGCCCCCCGGCGCGCGAGCCGAGCCCGAGCCGAGCCAGCCCGAGCCGCCTCGGCCTTCTCAGCCAGGTGGCGGGTCCTCGGGGCTCTCCCCACGGCGGCTGCGCGATGTAGAACCAAAGTCCGCCGGAGCGTTGCAGGCTGTCGCCCCCAGACGCCGTGCGTGCGTGACGTTCGATGTTCGCGGAACAAGCGGACTTGACTTCACGTCGAAGCCCGGGGAGGTGGGGGGAGGTGGGGGGAGGTGGGCAGGGGCTGGGCGCTCGGCGTCCGTGGGGTGCGCGGAGTCGTGCGCCCCGAGCTGGGCGGCAAGAACGCGGGGGGCGGGGGCGGGGGCGGGGGGCGGGGGGGGGCGGGGGGGGTCCCGCCACCGCCACCGCCGCCGCCGCCGCCGCCTCACCAGGGCCGCTCCAGCCCAGCCCGGGTGCCGTGCCCCTTGGGCTCTCCGGCCAGCGCGTGACATCCCCGCGGCTCGCCGCTGAGGCCCGCGTGCGCCCGCAGGACTTCAGCAGCTGCTTCCAGAGGCACGACGAGGTCCTGAGCGAGCTGGAGAGGGCGGCGCGGCGCGGCGGGAAGCTGGCGGCCGCGTGCAGGGCCTTCGAGCTCCAGAGGGTCTGCTACCTGCCCCTGAGCGCCTTCCTGCTGAAGCCCGTCCAGCGCCTGCTGCACTACCGCCTGCTGCTCAGCCGGCTGTGCGCACTGCACGCGCCCGCGCACCCCGACTCCGCGGACTGCCGGGGTGAGCGTGGGCGCCGCGGCCCTGGGTCAGGAGGCGCCCGGCGCGGGGAGCAGGCGCGAGGCTGGGCCCCAGCGTGGCCGTGCGCGGGCGGCGGGGGCCGGTCGCTCGGTCCTTCGCTCCAGCACTCCCGGCCGGGCCGCGTGTGCCGCCCGGGGAGGCCCCGCGAGTGTCCTCCCGCTGCCGCTCCCTCCGCGGCGCCCCTGCCCCCTGCCCCCTGCCGCGGGCACCGGGCACCAGGCGAGGGCGAGGGCGAGGGCACTGGCTCCCAGCGACCCGCTGGCCGCAGACTTTTCTGTCCTCAGAGCCTCGCCTCTGAAACAAACCCTCGGGCGGGGACGATGGCCTCGGTCGTCACCTGCGGCGAAGGGACAGATGAGGCCTGGCTGCGTCCGCCTGGTGCCGGAGGCTCCTGCTGAGCCCCCCCAGCTGGTCCCCCAGGCCCGGAAGGGAGCAGCGGGTTCGTGGCGGGCCGTCTGGCGGCCACGTCCTCCTCCGTCCTCCTCCTCGCTCTAGACGCGGGTGTTTTCTGGTTGCCGGAGGAGGGCGGGCTTGTCGGACGCAGCTGGCTGGCTCCGTGGTGGAGCATCTGCCTTCGGCTTAGGTCACAGTCCCGGGGTCCTGGGCTCGAGCCCCGTGTCGGGCTCCCGGCTCGGTGCGGGTCTCTTTCTCCCTCCCCCTGCTCAGGCTCACTCGCTCTCCCAGATAAAACCTTCGAATAAGTAAGAGGACAGTTCCTGTCACAGAGGCGTGGGTGGGGTTCCTCTCCCCACAGACGCCCTCCAGGCCATCACAGAGGTGACGTCCGCACTCCAGCACAGCCTCGCCCGGCTGGAGAACCTCCAGAAGCTGACGGAGCTGCAGCGGGACTTGGTCGGCATAGACAACCTCGTCACCCCGGGCAGGGTGAGTGACTTGAACAGAGTTTTGTGAGACGGTCGCTTCATCGCTTGGTGCTGGTCTGGACGAGGTGTGCTGTCGGTTTCTGGTGTCCGGGGCCGCAGCTCAGCACCTGTGCGTGACCCCGCGCCATCTAACCCCACCACCTGTGCCACCCCACCCCACCCCGTGACCTCAGTGTGTCCTCCAGAGTTTAGCGTCTGTTTCTTGGCCTCTTTTCTTCCTTGGTTCGTTTGTTTCATTTCTCAAGTCCACACGTGAGTGAGGTCACATGGCACGTGTCTTTCTCTGACTGGCTTATGTCCCTTGGCGTCGCCCTCCGGATCCGTCAGTGGTGATGCAGGTAGCGAGGTGCCGTCTAACGGCTGAACAGTGTTCCACCGTGCACACTGCACACCTTCCTCCCCTCCCCCCGCCGGACGCCCGGCTGCTGTGGGTAACGCGGCCGTAATCGTAGGGGTGCAGGGGCCTTTTCAAATCAGTGGTTTTTTCAAGATCGGGGGGGGAAATACCGGCAGGGTGATCACCGGATCACGCGGTCCTTCTATTTTGAACTTTTTGAGGAACACCTTTCCTTTCTCCAGGGGGCTTTCTCCAGGGGGCTGCACCAGGCTGCGTCCCCCCAACACGCCCGAGGGCTCCCCTTCTCCACATCCTCGCCGACACCTGTCACCTCTCGTGTTGGGACTTTAGCCGTCCTGACAGGTGCGGAGCGATGGCTCGTATGGTCTCGGTCTGCGTCCCTGATGCTGAGCGATGCTGAGCATCTTCTCGGGCGTCTGTTGGCCTTCTGGAGGTCTTCTTCAGAGAAACGTCTCTTCCTGTCTTTTGGCCATCTTTAATCGGATTATTGGGTTTTTCGGTGTGGGGTTGCAGAAGTTCCTTGTGCACCTGGATGCCGACCCTTTATCAGACGGGTCACTTGCTAACACCCCCCCCCCCCGCCCGTTCCCTTCCCTGTGTGGAAGCCTGTGCTGATGAAGCCCCAGAAGTTTCTTTTTGCTTCTGTCTCCCTCGCCTCAAGAGAGCCATCTAGAAAATGCTAAGGCTGACGTCAGAGAGGTTGCAGCCTGCGTTCCCTTCTAGGATTTTTATGGCTCGGGTCTCACATGTAGGTCTTTAATACACTTTGAATTTATTTTTCTGTTTGTGTGAGAAAGTGGCCCCGGTCCATTCTCCTGCACGTGGCCGTCCAGGTTCCCAGCACATTTGTTGAAGAGACTCTTCATCGCATCGCACATTCTTGCTTCTGTTGTCAAAGATTAGGTGACCGTACAACCGGGGGGTTATTTCTGGGTTTTCGGTTGTGCTCCGTTGCTGTCTGGGCATCTCCGCGGCCGGGCCACACTGATCACCGCGGCGCTGCGGTGTAGCTCGCAACCTGGGGTCGTGCTGCCTCCGGCCTTGTTCTTTTTCACATCATTGCTTGTGACTGAGACCTTAGTGACCTAGCACAGGATTCACGGCGCCGTCGGTGGTCTCCAGTGCATCCACAAGGCTGTGCCATCATCACCAGTAGTGACGGGGGTTTTCAGTCCCCCAGAAAGAAACCCTTTCTCTCTTAAGCCGCTCCCCATCCCGCTCCCCGGTCTATGGCAACTACTAGTCCACTGCCGGCGGATTTGCCTCCTCTGGGCCTTTCCTGTAAACGGAATCACCACGTGGCCTTTCGTGTCTGGCTTCTTTCGCTGAGCATCGCTTTCCAGATCCATGCTGTATAGGTCAGCACCTCCTTTTAGTGGCTGAATCCGTTCCATCCTACTCACTTCCCAGAATAGGATTTGCCAATACGTCCTCCCATGTTGTGGGGTTTTTCACTCTCTCGGTGGTATCGTTGACAACATAGTTTTATCTTTATGAAGTCAAATGTATCTATTTTCTCTTGGGTCGCTGGTGCCGTAGGCGTCACAGCTGACACGCCACTGCCTGGTCCACAGTAGGACGATTTACCTCTGTGCTGTTTTCTTCCAGGAACTTTGCATGTTTCAGCTCTCGTGCTTAGATACATACACCAGACTCTGTGTATCCGGCCATCTGCTGGCGAACGTACGCTGGGGCTGCTCCCCTTTGATGTGATTGTGCACAGTGCTGCTGTGCACATCTGTCCACGGGTCCTTAAGTGAACGTGTGCTTTCAGGTCTCCTGGTAGATGGACTGGAACTGCTGGGTCACAGGGTAACGGCGTTTGACATTTTGAGAAACTGCCAGTTTTCCAAAGTTACTAGGTAATTGTACATTCCCACCAGGAGCGCGTTGGGATTCTGGTTCCTCCCATATCTTATCCCTTTGAGCCATCGTGGCGGTGGTGGTCAGTGGTATCTCACTGTGGCCGTGATTTGCACTTCTCAGATGGCCAACGGCACGTTTTTTGTCGTGTGTTTATCAGCCACTTGTGAGCCTTCTTTGGAGAATTGCCTGTCTAGATCCTTTGCCCACCTTTTAATTGTTGCCTTTTTTGCTGTTGTGAGATTCTTTCTTTCCTGGACACCACTTACCAGAACAGGATTCGTAAATAGGTCCTCCCATTTTGTGAGTCATATTTTCCACTTTTTTTTCCATTCTGATTTTTCTTTTAAGATTTTATTTATTCATGAGAGACACAGAAAGAGAGGCAGAGGCAGAGGGAGAAGGCTCCATGCAGGGAGCCCGATGTGGGACTCGATCCCGGATCCCAGGATCACACCCTGAGCCCAAAAGCAGATGCTCAACCACTGAGCCACCCAGGCATCTCCATTCATTTTTGTTTTTAGTTTCTTGTTTTTTCATTTTCTCAATGGTATCATTGACAGCACAAGTTGTTTTTTTTTTTTTTTGTTTTTTTTTTTTGTTTTTTTATGAAGTCAAATTTACCTATTTTCTCTTGGGTTGCTTGTGCTTTAGGTGTCACAGCTGACATGCCACTGCCTGGTCCATGGAATGACAATTTACCTCTGTGTTTTCTTCTAGAAACTTCGTATGTTTCAGCTCTCATGTTTAGATTTGGTCCCTTTGTAGTTCCTTCTTGTGTGGAGTGAGGTAGGGCTTCCACTTCATTTTGTCCCACGTGATATCCTGTGTTCCCAGCACCATTTGTTGAACTGTCACAGACACAGATGTGCAAGGTTTTCAACTCTCAATCCTATTCCACGGATCTACACGTCTACACTGCTTACTTTGTCACTAATGCCTTTTGCTTTGAACTCAGTACTGTCAACATTAGGAAACCATTTTAAGGGTTGCATGGGGATGTTTCCTGTTTCAACACAAACATACATGTATTAGAACATGGCTGTGTAAGTCGTGTTTCCACGTTAGCCTTGTTACAGAGTGAGGGTCGTGAGCTCAAAGAAGTGAGCTCCACTGAGATGTACAGGAAGGTTCTGACCTCCCGGAGTTAGGGCTTTGGTTGGGTGCCAGCATAGCTCCATTTCATTTCCCTCCTTGACCACGGGGCTCCGAGTGGAGCTGCTGGCCGGGAGCCCCCGGAGATCGGCAGGGCTCTCGTGCAGGCGGCTTCTCCTAGCGTCCCACCCTGTGTTGTAGATGGCGGCCCCAGGGAATCGTGTCCCACAAAGGGGACAAGGAGAGTAGCCACAGAGCAGGGGTCAGTGGGCTCCCCGTGTGGCCCGGGCAGGTGGCTCCACCTTCGTGACAAAGATGGTCTTGGGGCAACAAGAGGACTGGCGTCAGCGGCCTGGCCCAGTGCTTGCATGAAGTAGCTGGTATGACACTTGCTGCCTTCGTTGTTTTTAGCTGAACTCTCTAAAGTCCCATCTTTATAACCCAGGGCCCCCGGGCTCCCTGTTAAATACGTGCGTCAGGCCGAGACAGGAACCATGCTAGTTACGGGAGCAGAGGAATTTAAGAACGAGGGCTGCTAACTAGGAAGGAAGCGGATGATGAGGTACCAAAGCATAAGAACCAGGAAACAGCTGGGGCAGAGTGCAGGTGCTGCCAAGGGGGGCCCACGGCATGGCAGGGGGCAGGGGGCACCCACAGGCCCGGGACATGCTCCCCTGGAGACAGGGCTGCTGCCCCCGGTCCTCGGGTCTGGGGGGTGGATGGAGCCCACTCACCCTTGGCCAAAGAGCAGGGTCTGGCACCGAAGCCACAGACACGAGCTAGTGCGGGCCCGGCCCATCGGGGGGCGGCCTCGGTGCCTGGTGCTGGGGCGCGCCCCCATCTCCGCCTTGCCCGCAGGCTTCTGTGAAGTTCTCCTTTAGATGCCTTCACTCGGTCCACTTGAGGGGGGTGGGTGTCCTCTGGCGAGTCCTCAGGGTATGAAGCTCCTGCGCCTCCTGGAGCCCCGCCCCCACGTCATCGCGCAGGGGCTGCGAAGCCTCTGGCTCCGGGAGGGGCTGTGTGCCAGCGCCCAGGGCACGGCCCACGCGAACTGCTGTCAGGGCTGATGAGGACCCGTGCACCCTTCTCCCTGCCGTTCTCCAGCTGCTCTGGTCCAAGTTTTCTCAAAGCTGAGCTCAGAGATCCCCGTGCCCGAACCTCAGGGCTGCTTCACTGGAAGGCTCTCAGCAGGCCTGCGGCGACACGGGGCGACCACAGACAGCCAGCAGGAGGGAAGAGGCTGGCAGGGCATGGAGCATTCTGGGCAGGGGGGGCACCGTCGGAGGGTTGCACGGAGCCTGCAAGGGGTTCATCTGAGGGGCTCAGAGAAGCAGAAATGGTGACGTGAGCCTGGCCCTCAGCCCCGCCCGCACGCCACCTGTGGACGCGGCCTTGGACTGGCACCAAAGGGCCTCGTCGCTCTGTTGCAGGAGTTCATCCGCGAGGGGTGCCTTCACAAGCTCACCAAGAAGGGCCTGCAGCAGAGGATGTTCTTTCTGGTACGTGGCGCGGGTGCGGCTCTGTTGGGGGAGCCGGTGCTGGGGTCCAGCGAGCAGCCCCACGTCAGAGAGGAGCCCGGGGGGGACCCCAGAAAGCAGTTGGGTGAGGCACCCCCTGCCTTGGTGTCCCAGGACGGTCTGCAGAACCGTCAGCCAGGAGACAGGAGAGCCCGAGTCCCTGCCGCTGCAGGAACGTCGTGCTGGGCACTGGCTGTGCCGCGGAGCGCGGAGGCCCTCCCGGCATCAGCTCCCTTCCTCGCGCCTGAGCCGTCAGCCACGATGCCCCACCGCCTCGCCCTGGTGGGCGCTGGGCACTGGCCCTGGAGACTGGCCACTCCTGGGTTACTGGCCCCCTGCCGTCAAAATTTTAAGGTTTTTTTTTTCTTTTTTTAAGATTTTATTTATTTACTCATGAGACACACAGAGAGAGAGAGAGAGAGAGAGAAGCAGAGACACAGGCAGAGGGAGAAGCAGGCTCCCTGCAGGGGCCCCAACGTGGGACTCGATCCCAGGACCCTGGGTCATGCCCTGGGCTGAAGGTGGAGCTAAACCACTGAGCCCCCCAGGGATCCCTTAAGTTTTTAAAAAAGATGTATGTATTTATTTGAGAGGCAGAGGGGGAGAGCACGGAGCGGAGGGACAGGGAGAGACGGAGAGACAAACCTAAGCGCTCCGTGCTGAGCCACATGGGACTCAGTCTCACGTCCCTGAGATCATGACCTGAGCTGAAACCAACGACCGTTGGACACGGACACGTGTCACCTGTTTGTGAACTCTGTGTGATCAGGCCTCCCGTCTAGTTCTCAGACGTGCTGCTGTACACGAGCAGAGGAGTCACGGGCACCAGCTGCTTCCGGATCCGGGGCCGCCTCCCACTCCGCGGCATGCTGGTGAGTGCTTGGGCGAGTGCTTGGGCGCGGTCACGTTCTTGGTGTCCACGCCCCGCCTGCAGCGGGTGGCGCCCTCTCACACCCTCTCAGGCGTCCGGCCCGACCCACCCTGCGTGTAAAGACCCAGCTGGGCGCCTGCAGGAGGGAGCGGACACAGCTCTTGAAAGTGAAACCCGAACCACTAAAGACTGCAGAGCCTTTCTGCTCCAGGGCTCGTATCGGACTCATCCCCGCAGTCATGTTCCCCTCACGTCAGCCTCCCCGTCGTTGCGCACACGCGCACACACACGCACACACACGCACACCTTCCAACGGTAGGCCGCGCCACCACTGACGAGCCGCTGGTTACGGTTCAGAGCCAGGCTCGGGGCCTCCCCTGTGCTGTGAGCTGGCTGCGGGTCACCTTGCGTCGGCACCACCGTCACCGTAGCAGGCCCGGGCCCTCCGCGGCCCTGTCGCTCGGCACGCCCTCTGTCCACACGACATGCTGTCAGCCCCCATCACGGCCTCAGTCCCTCCAGCCTCACCCCTGCGGCCAGTTTGCACGGCCCCGCAGACCCCGCTGGAGGTCGCGGACCCTGCTCCACACACTGACTCACCCTGCGTGTGCCCTCGACTGTAAGCCCGCGCTCGGCCTGGGCCCACCTGCCACAGCAGCAAAGACAGGTGGCCAGGTTTTTGCCACAGGAACGTGCTGTGGGTCCAGGACGTGTCAGGACAGCCTCCTGTCCGGGTGTCAGACCCCACTCTGCTGTCACACTTGGCCAGTCTGCCTCAATTTCCACCCCTTCCATTCTCGCCCCCCGCCACGTTCTCGGGGCCATCCCACCTTCCACTGGGCACCCGAGCCGTCGGCACAAAGGGGCCTGTTTGCGTGACCGCACCTGCCACACCGGAAGCACAGCCCACTGGTTTGAAATACTTTTACAAATTGTATTTACATTGTAGAAAACACTGAAAACATAAAAGTCATCCATGACTGTCGCCCCAGTAACACACGCTGTGGGCACTTGGCGCCACGCCCTTCTGGCCTCGCAGGTGTTAGACTGGGGGCGGGACCCCTCGGGCCTCCCGTTCACTGCGCTGCTGCTGCTGCTCGGGTCGGCCCCCGATCCCCGCCATCCCTTGCGACACAGAGACGCGCAGTGGGCAGGCAGGGCACACACCAGCTTTCCTCAGTTTCCCTGCACCGGACACTTTGGCTCCATTTCGTTTTTCAGAGTCAGGAGCATCCCCGCGGGACCTCGTCCTACACTCCTCCCTGCACCCAGCACAGCGCCCGGGGGCCGGGCACACGCGCCTCTAGGGCTCCGGGTAGGGCGCCCGCCCAGTGGAGCCTCCCCCCCACCCCCGCGGCCCCGTGAGGGGCACAGCCAGGGACGTCGGGGAGGCTGACGGGGCCGCCCCTGCGATGGCACAACTGTGCCTGTCGCCTGGCCTCTACCAATGCCCGTTTGTAGGTGCCAGCCGCGCTTGGGGCCACGGGTATGTTCCCCAGTTAGCGATTCCTTTTTTCTTTTCCCACAGTTCAGTTTTATCTTGTGGGATTGACATGGCACCGGACAGGTGCCCCTGGGCTGGCGCCTGGGGATGGGGTGAATTCAGCCGTGTGCTGCCGCCCGGGGTGCCCATCCTGAGTGTGGGTCTCCCTGCCCGCGCGCCGTCGCGTTGGCCCCGGTTCCACTTTCCAACTCACAAGCCGCCTCCACGAGGCTCCGTGGGGGTGGCTGGACTCCTGCCGACGTGTGGGGCCCCTTCTGGCCTCCCATTCCGTTCCCCTGCGCCAGGCAGCAGCAGGCCTCGCCCGGGGCCGTGTCTCCTGTCGAGTCGCCGTGTGGCTGCTGCGGCACGTCCCTGAGCTGTCGTTCTCCATAGAAGGCCCCTTGCTACGCTCCAGCGTTTAGTTCTTCCACATAAACTCAGGAATCACTGGGACAGATCCCCTCAAACCCGCCTGGACTCCTGTGGTCACACTGGGGTCATGTGCTACCTTGGGGTGACGAAGGGGAACGTCTGCACGACCTGGTCTCACCGCCCACGCTCCCGCTCATCTCTGGTCTTCTGTGTCCGTGAGGCTCTGTGCAGGCCGACCCTCCGCGGGGGTGTCCGTTGGCCTCGCCCCGAACTCCACAGGGCAGCAGCACACCCGCCGCGCCTCCAGTGCGCCCTGGAGCTGCGGGCAGACGTCCCCAGTGTTGTGGGAAGGCGCGGCCGCACGTCGCCCGAGGCCCGGGGCAGGCGGGGCCGTGGTCCGAGGCCCCCCTCGGCTGGCTGCGGGCTTGCCTAGGCAGCATTTCCTGGGAGTCCCCTCAGTTCTCCATCTCGATCAGTCGCGTAGGGTGTTCTTGGCTCGGAAGTTCCGGTACCAGGTTTATAAGGTGAATTGTCCGGTTCTCTTTTCAATAATGAAAATGCTCAATATTTTTTCCTGTGCTTGACTTTCAGCTAATAGTGCTGGACCCACCGGTGAGTAGTGGGGTGCCCTGAGGCCCAGGGCTCACCCCCCGGGTGGCAGGTGCCACGGCGTGGGGGTCCCCATGCCTCTGGTAGCCCCTTGTAGTCAGCGTAGACCTGCACAGGGCTCCCAGGGACCCGTGTCGCGCTGCCAGCGGCGGTCGCGCTGGCCCCACCCTCGCCCTCGCCCCGACGCTCGCCTCTTCTCACCACAGGTAGAAGAAGGCGAGCGTGAACGCTCTGTTCCGCACTGTTTCACCATCTGTGCAGCTCAGAAAACGATCGTGGTGGCAGCCAGGTAAGAGCCTTCCCCGTCCGCCCTGGCCCCGGGCGTGCCACCCACGGGCTTCAGCGGCGGGACCGCGGGAGCAGCTTCTCCTTTGGTGGGCGGCTTGTGACCGTTGAGAACGTCCCCAGGCACAGCCAGGGTGCTGCCGCTGCCCCCCCCGGCACCCTGCCCCCCAGCAGGGCTGTAACTGCGCAGCAACCACTTTCCCCAGGTCACAGCAGGTGGGAAGGGGGCCTGAGCTCCAGGGTGCGCCGCGGCTCTGTGTCTCCCCCGTGGGAGCTGGGGGCCTCCTGGGTGGGCGTCTAGCCCTCGCCTCCCATCCTGCCGCATCCCAGCTGAGGGCAGAGCACACAGACACGAGCACCCCGGGGCAGCAGGACGGACAGGAACCAGCCCTGCATCTCAGCCCTGCCCCTTGAGTCCTCGCTCGGGCATCAGCCACCCTCAGACGTCCCGTTCCAGCGGAGGGGCCTCGGGGGCTGGACCAGGCACTCCGACCGGGCACGGGCACAGCGAGCCCCTGGGGGCCCAGGCCCTGCGGAGCCGCCTCTGAGCCTTGGCCCTCCCCCCAGCACCCGCCTGGAAAAGGAGAAGTGGATGCGTGACCTGAACGACGCAATCGACGCAGCCAAGAGCGGGAGTGGCCTCTCCCTGGTGCTGCCGGGCAGCGTGCCGTGCGCACCTCCCTACAGTGAGTTCTGGCCAAGGCACCCCCGAGGGCACCCCGACTGCACCTAAGCAAGCTTCTCTACCAATCCTGTTCTTGGGGGGGAGCGAGTGGGGAGGGGCAGGGGGCGAATTCAGGAATCCCCGACTCCTCAAGGAGCACAGCCTGAGACCAGGGCCTGAGCCGCCAGGTGCCCCCACAAACCCGTGTCCTGGGTCCCAGGCCGCCTCTGGCCGGGTGCTCCCCAACACAAGGAACGTCCTGGGCTCTGGGGGGCGGGAGGGCCTGCGCGCTCCTCTGCAGCTGCATCGGGGGGTTTGCCGTCCTCTGACCTGGTGCCCAGGGCGCCGCCGCCTCTGAGCAGAGGCCTCACTCCTCCCAGGGTCCTCGGAGGCGGCCTCTCTGGAGCAAGGGGCAGAAGAGGCTGGTGGCCCCCATGGCTCCCTGGAGGGGCAGGGCCAGCGCCGGGCCAACACCACGGTCCACGTGTGCTGGTACCGCAACACCAGTGTCTCCAGAGCCGACCACAGTGCGGCTGTCGAGGTACAGCCGCCGTGCACGCCCTCCTGCCTGAGGGTGAGGGTCCCTGGGCGGGGCGGGGGGGGGACGGGACACCAGTCAGGCAAGTCCCCTCGAGCAGCACAGCCCAGGGGCCGCCAGGAGCCCTGAGGCATTTGCGGAGGCGCTGGGACCCTGGGAGTCCACTCCTCTGTCACCTGGAGGAGCCACTTTGGGCTCCGGGCCTTTGGCCCTCGGGCTGCTGCCACTGCGTGGTGTCTGCGCGCCGGCGATGGCCTGGGATGAAGCCGCAGAGCCAGGGGAGGAGGCCGTCAGAGCCGCGGGCTCACCAGGCCACTCGTGGGCATCAGCACACAGGCCCGTGTGCCTGGTCCCAGGGAGGGTCCCAAGGAGAGCAGGCCCCGCACCCCTGACCCTGCCTGCATGGGAGGGGGAGGTCGTCAGAGCTGAGTTCGCTCGGCCCCACGCGGTCGGCCATAGTCGTGGCCGAGCGTGTGTAAATCCGGAAAAGGAACGTAGCTTCTCGTACTTAGAGCCTGGCCTTCAGTGCCAGCGTCTGGCGGCCGCCGCACATCCTGGGAGCAGAGTGGCTGTGGCGCCCAAGTCAGCGGCTTTTTCTTTCCCTGTAGAATCAGCTTTCGGGTTATCTGCTGAGAAAATTCAAGAACAGCAGTGGCTGGCAGAAGCTCTGGGTGGTCTTTACCAACTTCTGTTTGTTCTTCTACAAGACTCATCAGGTAGGGGTGCTCCGTGGGCTCCCCGGGCCGGGCTGGGGGCAGGGGAGCGGCTGCACAGTCCCGTGCCACCTCGCAGGACGACCACCCCCTGGCCAGCCTCCCGCTGCTGGGCTACAGCGTCAGCGTCCCTGAGGAGGCCGACGGCGTCCGCAAGGAGCACGTCTTCAAGCTCCAGTTCAAGTCCCACGTCTACTTCTTCCGGGCTGAGAGCAAGTACACGTTCGAGAGGTAAACCTGGCCCGGCGGCCTGGTCTGCTGCCGAGGGCGTGGGAGGACGGCGCTGCTTCCAGGGTTCTCCCCGTGTTTGGGGGTGTCCTTGGGAAGAAACTGGCAGCCGGCCACTGGCCGCCCAGCGTGTCCCTGACTCCACGTGAGCGCCTCGGGAGCTCTGACGTCCGACCCCTTCCCCAGGTGGATGGAGGTGATCGAGCGCGCCAGTAGCTCGCCTGCGCGGGCCGGGCCTTCCGAGGCAGCAGCATGAAGCCCGTCCTCCCCGACGAGGACCCAGACGAGCAAGCAGAGCGGCGTCAGCACGTCCCTGACTGCGTGTCCTAAGGGCCACGGAGGCACCGGCCAGGGGGTGTCTGAGCCACGCCCTCCCCTCTCCCGGGGCACCCCCGGAGGACAGGCGACAGGAGCCATGCAGTGCTGGCCTCACCCCACGGGCCTCTCAGTTCTGGCTTCCCAGGGTTTCCTAACAAACTGACGTAAATGGACACACGTGCTGTTATTTGTTCGCTAACGGCCGGCCGTGCAGCCCGAGACAGGGCTCCTCCCTGCCCTCCTGCCCGCGGGCCACACGTGGCTGCGGGCCACGACGAGGACTCAAGCCAGGAACTGGGCCCCACCCGCCGCCAGCATCGCTCCGATTCAGGTCTTTATTGAAGGTGGCAGGAGCCTCTCCATGTTCTATGAAAACTAACACCTCAACCTCAGAACATCGGGGAAGCGAGAAGTCCGTTTTCTTTAAAAAAAAAAAAAAAAAGTCCTGGCTGATCCGAGTACTTAGGAGGAGACACGGTACCTGATTGACACCACAAGGCAAACCTACGGCCAGCACGGCCGCCGCGGGCCCGGGGGGCAGACGGGCCCGACAGCCTCCGCTGCTCCGTCCGGCGGTGGCTCCCCTGACGCTGTGCTGCAGGAGGCGGGGGTAGCCGAGCGCAGGAGCGGGGGCTGGGGCCGAGGCAGCCGGGCCGCGGAGCTCCACGCCAGCCTCTCCTCCCCGCTCTCCTCAGGCAGCGGCGCGCCTCAGCGGGTTGACGTCAGGTGGTTTCTGTTGTGGGAAAACCTGCGGAGAGGACGGAGGCCTGGAGAGTTGGCCGGGCGGGAGGCAGCCGGCGTGGGGGTCCGGGCGCCACTCCCTGAGCCCGGGCTCTGGGGACAGACGCCCACGGCCGCCCCGGGCCTCACCTCTGCACACGCTCCACCAGGTGCGCCATCAGCTTGTCCGAGATGCCGGGGCAGGACTCCTCCGCCAGGCTGAAGGCGTTCTCCAGCTCTTCCAGCGCCCCCACGCCCCCGCCGCTCTGCTTGTGCTTCTCCTTGAGCTGCAAAGACAGCACCCACCTCCTGTGAGCTCCGCCCACGGGCCCTCGCCACCACGTGCATGTGCGGGAGCCCAGGCACCAGGGGCCCTAACAGCCCTCCCGCCACAAAGCTAGGCTGGCCGAGTCCCACCTGCCCCCATGGCGGGGCGGCCTGTTAGTGGTGGGCTGGGCCACCCAGGCTTCCTCCCAACCGCGGGCCGCAGAGGCCACGGCGGAGGTACGCTGCTCAAGAAGCCCTGAGGTCCCCGCAGCCAGGTCAGGCTTGGCCTCCCCACCACCCGGGCCGCGAGAAGCCCACGGAGGGTCCCCGCCCTCTAGCTGACCTGGCAGGTAGCAGTCAGGTCAAGCCTATGTCACACCCCAGAAACAAAAGGGGAAAGAGCCTGTGTGTCTCCAGGAGGCCGCCAGGACACCCCCCAGCAGCCTCAACTGCAGGCCCAGCCCACAGAGGCCACAGTGGGTGCACCCGACAAGCAGGATGAAGCCATCCCCCCACCCCCCTCACCTGTCCCAGGGCATCCTGGGGTGGGCACCTGCCCCAGGCCATTGAAGCACACCTGAGCCCCCTGACAGTCCAGCTCGTCACCTGCTCCCCGACCTCCTCCCTCGCCCCACAGGCGCCCGGAGGTGGGAGCTCTCCTGCCTAAACCCAGAATTCCACCCCCACCCCCACCCCTCCACCCCCATGTCTCGGAAAGGCACTCAACGTCCCATCTTCCCTCCTGGGGCCCCGGGGGCTGCCGTCACCTGGGGTGGGGAGTGGGGACACCTGGCTACATTGTATTCCTGGGGCGTCAGCAAGCACCCATCAGCAGGGGGCACGTAGGGGAGTCACCCTCAGGGCCTCCCCGCCCTGGGCCTGGTACCCAACTCCAAGAACTCAACCTCCCAGGCTCCCTAAACAGGACCATCCCGTGTGTCTGCAATTCAAAATAAAAGGTCACAAAACACGGTTTTTGTTCAGTCATTCTGAGACCCCCACCGGCCCCCAGGAGGCTGAGCACTTGGGGTGGTCGCA